ATCTGCAAAATTTTTTAGAATTTGAAGTTTTGCACAGAATTGCATCTAATTTCTGCATTTGTAGCATCAAATTTGAAGGTTTGCGCAGATTTTCATTTGATTTATTATTTAATTTTTTTGCAAATCTGCAATAAAAAAAAATTCCTGATGATACAGTAAATAAAGGATATGGCAAGCAAGCTGTTTCTAATAAAGCTTTTGCTATAAGGTTTCCCGGACGATAATGTATAGCTCGTCAGCATTAATCGCTCATATGGTGCGATTGCTTTTTTTACTACTCTTTAAAAAACGAACTAAAGCTTCCTCCTTTTTTGAATATATACGTATACAGTATATTGTCTATAGTCTATTATACACAGATAAAGTAATATTATTTGAGTTGACCTTAGTGAAAAATGACAAAGTATATATAACTATAAGCTTGTTAATATAATTTTACTTATAAATTATGAATAGTTTGTAAACCTTGAAATCACTTATGTCTAATCTATTGTTCCAATCTTGTAATGTTTTTACTATTATTATTTCTGATTTTATATCATAGACTTTGAGCTAGATCAGATTAATTACTTTTTTTTTTTCACTTTGATAACCTTGTACTAATTTATTAGAAGCTTTGTAATTTACAAATTTAACTATCTAATCTATGTATTAGGCCAATACTTGGCTGCTTATAAGTGCCCAAGTATGGTTATCACACTGATGTTTGCAAACTGGCTTTATATATAGTGCTACCTATATTTAAAAGCCCGATATAGCATGGTACTTAGCTATCTAAAAAAATTTTTTAAGAAACACAAAGTTTTACTCCACTCTAATTTTATTTTGACTACCAGTTAGGTGAAAAGAGTTTAAAATTTGTAACCAAATTGTTTCTTTTGTTAAATTATACATCTCTACTGCTTTCTTTTTAAAATTTACCAAACATGATATTTTCTTTTCTTTTTTTTCTTCTACACTCATTTCTTTTAAGTACTTCTTTCTTTTTCTCAGATGGCTTTCTGTTAGTTAATTTTCTACTACTCAATCTATTGCTAATGAACTTTCTGTACCCAGGTCTTCAGCATGTGGGTTTTTTTCTAGAGTATCTAACATATCTCTGGATCTTTTTTCTTTTTTAATTGCTCTGCTTATACCATTATTTTTTTTCCAGGCTGTGAACTTTTCACATCTTTCTCTCCAAATTATTCTGTAAAAATATTCTTGTTTTTATTAGTTTTATCACCTTTTATTAGTTTTGCTACCTTTTATCAGTTTAATTACCTTTTATTACTTTTGTTATTTTGTTATTTAAGATTTTAATTTGAAACTATGTTTCATATTTTGTTAGTGCAAAATTTTGAGGTATCATCTAACAACTATACTCAACACCTAAATTAATATAAATATATCTCTCATATTAAATTAAATATTTCATATATTCATACTAATACTAAGAGTAAATTAATGAATAAACTGCTATGAGATACACAGTACATAGCATTACTTTGCCAAATATTCTTCTTACACAGATAAAATCTGGATAACCAGTTTAATTTCAATTTAATTTTATAAGTAATCTGAGTTTAAATTATCAAAATTTCTCTCAATTGCTTACTGCATCTATCTATAGTAAATATAATATTCTTTCATATATATAATTAGAGAAGATTAAAGATCAAGAAACTAAATAATATATTCATAATCATTACTTTACTTGATAATCATTTAGCCTAAGATGTTAGGGTTAGTGTTAGGGTTAGTTTAGGTCAATTTGATAATACAAGTAAACAAATAACATCATTTCATAATTTTATATAATGTGATAATTACAAATATATCACTTAGTTTCTTGTTCTTCAAGTCTAAACATAAATGCTTGTTGTAAGGTAATGAAGAGTTATATAAACTGACTTTATCTACAGTATTAAATTTAATATTTTTGTATATTCATATATGCACATAATATACATATATAAAAAATAAAATTTTTTTATAGTAATCATTATGCTTTAATTAAAACAAAGGCTTGTTAAAGCTATGTGTAGTTAAACAATTCTCATATACTTTGTGATATTATATATTACTTCAATCCTGGTATAGTAACCATATACTTCATAATATTACATATCACTCTGTTTTTGGTATAAAGAATTTTTATTAGTTAACTATATATATATAAAAAAAAAATTTACAATTCTTACTTTGCCAACACAGGTGGGATATGAAACCCAATTATATAAATTTAAATAGCCTAATTGTTGAGATATTTTTGATCAAAGTTTAGAAAATTATGCTGCAGCTATTTTCTTAGTTTAAAATAGTTTGTTTATAATAATAATTGTTTAATAATATATTGTTTTTAAAAAATTAACTTTACATATTGTTATGGGCAGAATAAATCATGACTACCAAAAATGTGACCTAAATGTTGATCAGGACCTGAATCGATGCATGATCATTGATCATGCATACAATGGCGATGCCCCCAAATTTTGGCATTAATGATCAACCCAAAATTGGGTAAAACCCGCATATTTGGGTCTTATACAATCGTACAGGCATACTATTGAATTAGAAAAAAATAATGAAGTTTTAATATGGCGGATTTGGGCAGGTTTGTAGTAAAAGAAAAAAAAAAGAATCAAATTAGTAAAAGTAGAATAATTAAAAATAGAAAATGTAGAAATAATTTACCCAAATGTAGTAAAACGTCCAAGTTGTATAATAGAGTCAATGAAAGTGGCAAAAAAGGGATTTAAAAGAAAAAGGAAGGAAATAAATTAGTGATAGAAAATGAAATTTATAAAAGAGAAGACAAATTTTAATAAAGAACTCATTTTTTGTACGCCTGAAATTTTAGTAAGGGCAAAGATCAGGTGTTAGTGAATTCGTTTAGAGAAAACCCAATAAATGACACAATACATAATATTCTGATACTTGCCAAATCATATCTCCGCCTCTATTCGAGCCTTAAAACCAATATAATACAAGATTTCTGGTCTTCTAGTGACAGACTCGCCGTTTTCGCCTACTTTATTTGGTGGTAACTGTGAGATCCGAATATGTTGTTTAGATAATACTGTTAATCGGAATATAGAGTATAATTGAGTATTAGCATCATAGTGACGAACAATCGATGATTAAACATTGGAATTAATAATCAAACAGAATTTTTTTTTGTCATAAATTAAAAATTAAAAAGTTAAAAGTTACTGAAATGAATACTATTATAAGATTGATAAATTTTTATTTTCAATATTAGTAATCACCTAAAATCCATATAAACAGAATTTTTTCATAAGAATTTTTTTTCTTATCATTTAACTTCTAACATATAAACCACTAATTAAAAAACTATAAAAAAAAAAAAAAAAAAAAAATGATTGAAATTTACCAAGAAATGGCTAAACGAAAACCAAAGCATGTAAAAGCCCGATCGAAGGTAACATGACAACAGCACACCCAAGACAATAATAAAAGCTATGAATTGACCCAAAAATCCATGCAAAAGAAGTCCTGGTGCACTTACTGCAAAATAAAGGTCACACCATTAGAATGTGTTCTAGAAAAGACCTTCTGGATGAGAGAGTTACCACCTTATTTAGGAACCTTAATGATGAACAAGCCGTGGTTGTACAAGAAATTATTAATACAATATTTGACTACTATATCAACAATGAACAAGTGCCCTAGGTATTAGAGTTCATATTGGGCATACTGGAATCAGTTATGATGAATAATGAAAGCCAAACAAAAGAGGCTGATTATAAAATTTATCCAAACAATACCAAAGATTTTAAGTATGATAAAGATGCCAATATAGATACCCATAGTGGTGATATAGTTGGACTAGATAATGATGAAGCTGATAATGAAAAAACCATTGCTGAAGATAAAGACAAGGTTGATGCAGATGCTAAAAAAGGAATTGGAGCTAAAAAAGATAAATATAAGACACTTGCATATTATCAAATATTAGCAAAGACAGGCCACATGGATACGACGATTGAATCTTATTATAAGGATATCAAAGAAGGATTGTTTAAAATCATTACTGATAATGCAAATAGTAGATCTTATGAACCTGAATTCGAGGACCCAGTCCTAGATATAATTAAAAGTTATTTTGAAAAAGAAACCTTGAATAAAAAATGTAAAGAAGTCGAAAAGAGCGAATATAAGGCATTCACTTACTATCAAAAATCAGCAAATACGAAAAATGCTAATACAATATATTGCTCTGAACATTGTAATCAAAATGAAATCAGAGTTAAAATGGATGGATACAAGACACTCATATATTACTGAAAGTTTACGACTATAAGACTACTATAAGTAATGACTATAAAGACACTAGTGATAACAAAGCCAATAAGGATGATGATGATGATATAAGTGAAGATAATAAATTTGAAGTAGAATGTTTGGATAATAAGAAGGGCGAAATTGATGCAAATAATAAAAATATAGCATCTATTCCTGATAAAACGAACAGCCCCAGACCTTACGATCAAAATGAAGACAATCTCAGCAAAGATAATTGTAAAGTATCCATTCATTATCAAAAGGCCACCGAAAATAACGAAAAGAGTGATAATTATGATCAGGGCGATGGAATCACTAAGGATATAGAAATTGTGGAAAAAGCAGAAAAATTTATCAATAAAGTGAAAAATATCCTAAATGAAACTAAACCTAAAGAACTAATACTTACCAGAAACAACAAATCTCTGCAAGTTAGATGTGATTCCTAGAAAGAGGAAGTCAAAAAGTTTAAGACTAATGAAGGAAAACAAGAAGTAAGTAAAGACAAAAGTAAAGCTGAGAAAAATCTTGAAAAGGATATTCTAATCATCTGTTATCAAAAGCCTGCTAATATGAAGTATGATGATGATGATGTCGGATACTTTTATGAAAGTGGAATCGATGATAAAAGGCCTAATAAAGATAGATAAAAAACATTTGAGTAATATTTAAACTCTGCTGAAGGCCGCAATCCGGATGGATGGTATAATTTTGGGCTCTGCTGTCAAAATAGTATTAAACTGAAAGCAATTGAAAATAAGGCATTCAATAATTATCAAATATCTGGCAATGTGAGTAATTCTAATAAAATGTATAATAATAAAAATTGCATATTTAATTCCGAAGGTTTAACATGTTCGTTGAACAAATAAGCTTAACAAGTAAGAAGAAAGCTACTAACTGGACGAACACAAAAAAAAAAAAAAAAAAAAAACTGACATAACAAAATTTAAAGACTAAAAGTGAAAAGAACCTAAGAAATATTGCTTAACCTCTTCTTTATTTGGTAATCAACCAGTCAACCAGAGAATGATCATAGTAAAATATGACTCAAATTATTTATAAAAATTGGAGGTCTTCAAATGTGGTGTGTGTATATCTAAAACTTTTTTTAATACTAAGTTAATCACTTTTCTAACTTAAGAGACTTTTGTAAAGCTTGTCAAGACGTATCTAATGGTGGTTAGAACGTCAAAATTGGCTTGGTGGATGCTGAGATATCTTTAAAAAACATTTCTTTTACTATGTAAACTTCTTTGCAAACAATACTATTGTTTGCAAAAAAGTTTACATAGTAAAAGAAATGTTTTTTAAAGATATCTCAGCACTCACCAAGCCAATTTTGACGCTCTAACCACCATTAGATACGTCTTGACAAGCTCTACAAAAGTTTCTTAAGTTAGAAAAGTGATTAATTTAGTATAAAAAAAAGTTTTAGATACACGTACGCCACATTTGAAGACCCCCAATTTTTATAAGTAATTTGAGTCACTTTTTACTATGATCATTCTCTGGTTGACTAGTAGATCACCAATTAAATTTTCTAAAGAAGTGTCTTAAAAAACTCATTTGTTGTTTCTTTTCTATTATGTTGCCTATACTTGACTTTATTGACAATGTGGTTTCACTTTTTTCAGAGCACCACTTTTTTCAAAATTTTGTATACAAGAGTACTATCTGCTAGTTATTTTGTATACTAATGCTTTTGGTTTGTATGCTAAATATATAAAGAAGTTCCGAGTATAGCAGTTGACCTTTACAAAAACTATCTTCATAGTGCTTTCTTCTTCAACAAAATTTTTGTTTTTGTTTGGTAAAAAAATTTGGTATGAGTGATTGTTAGAAAGAGTTGTTGACTATATGGCCCAAAGTACAAATAAATTAGAAATAAAACCAAAATATAGTACAAATACAACTAATTAAACAAATTAGTGCTGATCTAGATTACCAAACTACTTTTCCAACCTTTCAAAATATTTACTTCTTATCTAGTTTCTAGAACTTTCATGTTTTACTGTATTTTTTATTAAAAAACAGTAGGTTCAAAGATAAAAATAAAATGCTAATGTTTGTTTTATTATATATTATAAAAAAAATTTTTATATGGCATGATGATCTTTACTAATAAAAGTATTTTAAAATTTACAATTAACTGTATAAATAAATAATTATCACTAATCATATTTAAAAAATTTATTGTAAAATTTTACTATATAATATACTACTTAATACTAACTTAATCTTAATTCTAACACTAACACTAATAATTTTAGCATTTATTTGATTTTGCTGGTTGGTCAAATACAATCCAGTAATGGCAACATTAGAAAATTATCAATTTATAAATAAGGCTTATTTTTTAAAAAAATTTAAAGCCAAATAACTTTTGATCTGCTAGTTTATTTTAAATAATTTTACTACAAAAATGTTCATCTTTTTAAAATGATTCCAATAAGCCCAAAATTATCAAAATCCAATCATAGAATCGCAAGATAATGCACTATCAAATAGTGACGCACCTAGAGAGTGGGTTAATTGGTTAGTCCTATGCCTAACCAATCAACCAACCCTCTAGGTGCGTCACTATTTGACAGCGCATTATCTCGCAATTCTATAATTGGATTTTATCATTTTAAAAAGATGAACATTTTTGTAGTAAAATTATTTAAAATAGACTAGCAGATCAAAAGTTATTTGACTTTAAATTTTTTAAAAATATAAATTACTAAAATCAGCCATGAATTTTTAGCATATCACAATATTTTTTATAATTTCATACAAGGGCGTGGAAATACCTGTTCCCTAAAACATTATAACACAATAGCCAATATCACGTAATTTAATTCATCTCATCAAGATAAGTCAAATAATATCAAAATTATGGTCAATTGTTACACTGCAACTAAAAAATTGGCACCTATATATAAAAATGTTAGGTCTAAGCAATTTACAATTGTAGATTGATTTTATTGACTCAATAATCATTGATCATGCAAACTATTATCAGTTATAGACGTGTCAAAGGTAATCAATTTTTGCATCTCCGAACTAATAACATCGATAGAATCCTCTATATCGGTAGTGGCAACTGAGTCCTGCAAATTTGTATTGGTAACAGTAACGAGATCTTGTAACCCGTCAAGCTGGAAGGATTCTTCCAATATTTGCATGTATTTACGTCGTTTCCCACCAATCAATGGAGATACAGCCCTTGTCAATCTCTTATTTGAAGGATGAATATGTATTGGTGTGAAATGCCTAATCGGCTGTGCACGATGTACTAATTCAGAGCGTAAGCGACGAATCTCCTCCCTTTGTCTAGCCTAATCAAAGCAATCTAATTACTTGAAAATGCTTTCAATAAAATTATTGTATTTTTATGCATACCATTTCTTCTCTTTGCTTTTGTTCTTTGAGAGCATTATTGACCATATCACGCAATTTTCTTTGTTCATCTAATATTTTGCGTTCTTCCAAACGAATATCGGTGAGGAAAAAAAATTCGACTGGTTTCGTTGGTGGTGGAACGACCGGCTTTTTTGGAATTTCTGGTTCAAAGCTTGGAAGAGGCTGAGCACGGAAATGATTTTCTTTTTCTCGTTCATTCAGCTCCTTTAATCGTTCACGAAGTGAATCTTGATATTTCTCTCCACGTAAATCAGTTCTTAGCGTAAATGGTTTTGGGCGTGTTAAAGGATAATTATCCCGTGGAGGCAGACACTAAGACATTAAATAATTTTAGAAAATGAAATTTTTTTAACACTATTTAGAATGCTTACATCTGGGGAATTACTTGGAAGCGGTTGCGCTTTAAAACGACGGGTCTGTTCCATTTCTTTTCTCTCCTTATGTATCTTATCTTAAATTTCTTGAGATTTCCGTTCAGAAAGAAAAATGAGTTAGTAAATAAATAGAAAATACTGTAGGTTTAAAATAAAAGTCAAATATAAATAAATAGATCTACCGCTACGCGATTCGCTACGCGTAAAAATTGATTATCATATCAGTCAGAGGACATGTCACACCTGTTGATATATGAGAGTTAATTTATAATAAAAATTATTTTAGGATTGAGAATATCGAAAATAGTAGATTAAGGTTATTTAGAATATTAGTAAAAATTTAAGTTAGCTATGTATTAAAATTAAAATTTTTAGTTTATCTACACATAACTTTTTCGTTTACTAAGGGTGCAGTTTAGCCAAACTAGCCAATCAGATTTTTTATTGAATTCATTGAGGTGGGTGCTTCTGAGACAACTAATCTTCATGTACAGTACATATTTGTCAAAATGAGCTTTTTCAAACTTTTTACTAAGTGAAAAATTAGGTCGGGCAAAGTTAATTTTTTGGTTTTTATAACCCGAATAAGAATTTAAATTTTATGAGGCGCAGTATTAATACTGATATTTTGAATTGAGGTAGAAAGGCTCATGTTCTAATAAACTTGAATTGGAAGGTGAAAAGGCCTTAGCAAGTATATTTTGCAAAAGCAAGAGAAGAAAAAAAGTATTAATAGATACGCTTACAAGAACACTTTTCTAAGTCTTATAATATGAACACAGATCAGAAGAATTTTGAGATATGATCTGATTTAGTTAAAACTAACCATCTGAATATTTATTAATCTAACTTTTTTTATATCCAGATATTGGTTAAAATTTGAATTAATATCCGAATAAATTCAATGAATATTTATTGAACATTTAATTACTTATATTACTTATAGTGATTTGACATTATAATTCACATGTTGATTTATTCTTTTTTTTTTATTTTAAATTAAATTTAGCAGATATATACTATACAACTTTGTGTTTAGATAAGACTAAAATTTAGTCAATATTTTGTATATAAATTTTTAGTTAAATAAATAATTTTTTTTTTTTTTTTTTTTTAATATTGAGATAACCACTTAGGCCCCTAGCACTTTATTAGTTCAAATGGGTGGGCCGTCCGAAGACTGGCTTACATATTACATCAGTAT